ATATTTTAAAAACAATTTTGTATTATTTTCTGGTATATGTATAAACGTACCGATTTTTGTAAATACGGACGTCCATATACTACATTATCAGAAAATAAGAGCGATAACTATAATAAATTTAAAGCCAGAGTACATAAAATTCAATAAAACATTAGATTACAGAGAATATTTTCCTAATTTTTTAAGATTTAGTTAATTAAAAATTGCATAAAAAGGCGCTCACGTTATATTGCTCAAGTAATTTTTGCAGATATGTCCACCGTAGAAAAAAATGAGATTATCTTCCATCTGTCAGTCAAGCCGTCAACCTGTCAATGCCTTAAATAAACACCTACCTCCGTGTTAAAAAATGCCTTTCTGCGATATTTTAAACTGAAAGTAATTAATGTTTGTTTCAAATCAGATTATTTAAAGTTTAAATCAGCTAATAATCCACAAATTGAGTTTTAGAAAAGTATATTTTATTTTTGATTTTCTAATAAAGAGAATTACATTGTGCGGACAGATGTCGAAAAATCAACGATTTTTAGTGATTTAAAAAAACCCACTTCTAACAAACATCCACTTTAATTTAGTTTTGAAATACAGTAAAGTATTTTGCTTATTAAAAATATTAAATTTAATCTGTTAGTTTGAAATTAGAACTAAAATAAAAACATCAAGAAAGATTTTTTTTTATTTTTAATAATTGCTTGTAAACAATAGATGTCTCCTTTCTGTGGAGGTACCTATATATATATATATATATATATATATATATATATATATATATATATATATATATATATATATATATATATATCTTATTATATATATATATATATATATATAATATATAAATATATATATATATATAAATATATATTATTATTTTTTTTTCAAAAATGTGATTCCTTCAAAAGAAAAAAAATAATAATTATAAACAAAATAATTATAAAAAAAAAAAAAATAATTATAATTATAATTTAGGTTCTACTTTTGTATTGATCACTGTCTTTAAAAATAAAAACAAAATACTAAAGAACTTCGGATTATTTGCCTAAAGTGTTATTTCCTATTTTTCTATATATTTGCATATATATATATATATATATATATATATATATATATATATATATATATATATATACGCACACTCACACATATATAACGGTAACTGAGGGTTGGGGAGAAGACATGGATTCATGCCTTTACTGTTCATTAGTTTGAAAGGGAACACAGCAGACAAAGACGGAACTTGAACTCGGCTCAGCGGTTCTATTGTCACTGCCGATAATGTTACGATAGCGATATCCAATAGAAACAGAAACATCATATAGTTCAACCCACCATATAATAAAGATGTAAAAACAAATATAGTCAAAATATTCATCAAATTTATCGAAAAATACTTACCCAAATACAGACTAATTGCATAAAATATTCAGCAGAAATATTATAGCTGCAGGGAAAACACGCTTCGAATCATTAAAAAAGCAACAACAGAAAGAAAAAAAACACCAATACATCACGAACAATAGTCGAACCGATCTGTAACTACATAACAAAATATGAATGTCCACTAAACGTTAACTGCTTACAAAATAACGTTATATATAAAACTACTGTAAGACCATTACATCACTCAAAGTGCGCTCACAAACACAGTGTGTATATATATATAATGTTGGGAGAAATATAATAGTTTTTAAAATGGATATAATTTTTTAAAATCTGTAATTCCAATATTGCGCCATCATTGCTGTAAGCAGATATATTTTTTTAATTCAATAAATGCAAAGGGCAATCTTCAGGTGTTGAGTTAACTCCTGAAGATTGTGCTTTGCATAAAATTCCGAGTCGTGCGAATATGAATATAAATAGGATTGTTTATATTAAATCAATCTATATATATATATATATATATATATATATATAACAATAAATAATAATAATAATAATAATAATAAATACTTTCTGAAAATAAATTTTAAACAAAAATGATTTTTGAGAATAAATTCAATTTTACAAGCACGACTTCTGACGAGTGGATGTATAAGTAAACATTTAGTTATTTATATATATATATATATATATATATATATATATATATATATATATATATATATATATATATAGTAGAGATTATAGTTGTTTCAACGATCAAAAGTTTATATTTTAAAGAGAAGAGAGAAACCGCAAACGTTTTTGGTTATAATGTGGATTTTTAAAATATAATTTATATTTTATTTCCAAATTTTTGCTACACGAGTTTCCGGTCAGGCGACCTTCATCGGGCAAAGAGCAGTTATTTTCACATGTTATTAAAAGGAATTAATTCCCTATATGTTTTACCATTTTCTTTTGTGTAACCCAAATTATATATATATATATATATATATATATATATATATATATATATATATATATATATATATAGAGAGAGAGAGAGAGAGAGAGAGAGAGAGAGAGTAATAAATTATATATACAATAGCTGGCCACTCAAATTGAGTATACCCGTCTACTAGGGAGGTTATCCAATCCCTATTGCAGACGCGCGCTCAGGCACATTTGTGTTTTGTTTAACACCCATAGAGCCAACCTGTGGATTATACTGCAACTATGCTGAGCAGACCTTAGTTACAGTTTCTGGGAAAGAGCGTGTTATCTAGCGTGATCAACAATTTGAACAAAGCCAGCACGCTCAAACCTTCGGCCACGATGACTTGTGACCCCAAGTGTTCCGTCTAAGCAATTTCACTCACAAGCTTATGTCAAACGGTGGTATGGTTTTCAGACATTTTCCAAAGGTGCTGCACGCTGGGATTGAACCCAATCCAGTCTAATAACACCAGGAAGTTGCCTTCCTGACAAATCGACCATGGTGAGATTCGAACTCGGGTTTCATGGTCAAAAGCCGAACGTTCTAACCACTCAGCCATAAAAACTAAAATAATATGTATATGCTCTGTTATAATAAATACTTTGAGGTCTTTTTGTGGTTCTAATATTTTATATTACTAGGATATACTTGAATTATATACCAACGGATTTATTACCTGTATTATATATATTGTTGTGGTAAACCCTCCTACAATAGAATGAACTCTTCCTCCTCTGATAAATACTAACTGCGAGAGCCGGTTGAGAGAAGGTAGACACAGTGCTAACCTGCCGTTCGGACGTACATCCCTATCTACTTATTAGTAACACTCTTGCTTTGTATATATCTTTAATATACTTGTTCAACCTACCTTCGTCTTCCGTGTCTTTCTTTCTGACCTCTAATAGGCCATAACATATATATATATATATATATATATATATATATATTATAATAAAAAGAAAGAACAGTAAGATATATAATCCGGTGTTCTTATTGATATTTTTATTTTTACAAAACAGTGCTCAATGTAAATTTATAGATCATAAATATTATAAATTAACTGATTTAAAATATGCTTTTTTCGCTACACAGGAATTACAATGTTTCAAAAGCCGAAGCTAAAAACTTCAAATTTAATTATATAATTAAATTAAAAGCATTAGTTCTGTTTCATCTAAATTCGCTTGAAGATGAATCAGAACTAAAGCTTTTAATTTAATTATATAATTAAGTTTTTAACATCGGTTTTTGAAACATGGTAATCCTGTGTAGCGAAGAAACCATATTTTAAATCAGTTAATTTATAATATTACCTGTATTATATATATATATATATATATATATATATATATATATATATATATATATATATATGAATGGTATTTTAAGAATGCCATTACAATTTCACCGAATAGCATAATAAAATAGTGAAATGTCATTTTTCGTTTGTCATTTCTCGTGATGGAGCTGCCGAGGAATAAATGTCATTTTTAAATACGACATTTATAACCGTGTTATTAGTAAATGATTGTTTTGATTAGTAGATGCCATTTGTTACCTAGAAGGAGACATAATTACATGCGGCTTTTATTTTTTGTTCACAGTATTTTTCGTCACATTCAAGGAAACTTGAAAAATATTAGCTTGATTTTTTCCTACGACCTTTTAAGAAAATTTTTTAAAGTTTAGTCATAAATTATTTCCATTTTTGTATGTTAACTTTATTCTTCAGTAGAGTTACATTTTATTCAATTATGCATTCGCCATTATTCGAAATGACTGGATTACAGTCATATTACTTTGAAAAACCGTTTCTCGTTCGATCTGGAGTTAAGCAACGTCGAGCTTGGATCCTTGATGTTGAGAATACCAATTACTGTAAGCGTGGATGTGTGGGTGGTGTAATGGATATCGGCTTGGAGTTCTTAATCGGAGAGCCGAGTTCTAATTCCAGTCGGGTTTGTTATACTTACTTAGACGCGAATACAATTGGGAAAGGTATAAATCCACCTCTTCTCGTCCCAGCTATGGGTTAAATAGTTGAACTTGTATCAGTAAATTATTATTATCTCCAAAAAATTCTTACAATTCCAATTTGTATTCTGGCTTTAAATGATTTGCAAAAGGTTGATAATCCGTAAAAAAAAAAAACCCCAAAAAACAAATCAGTCAATCGAAATGATTTCTTATCCGGCAGCTTTTCGATACCATTTCAGTAAATTTACGCAGGTTTTGATGTGAAAAGTTTTTCGACAAACTTTTCAATCTGGTTTTCATTAGAGAGTGTTTTCTGCATCAAAGCGTTTTGCAGCCACTGCAAACCATAATAATCCGTTGGTGCAACGTCAGGTAACTATGGCGGGTGAGACAGAACAGACCAGCCAAGTTCCAGAATGTTTTTTCCTGTATCATTCGTGCTGTATGCGGCTTTGGATTATCATGGAGGAGAATAACGTTTTTCTCCGTTGACGGGCACGAGACGCTTTGACAAAGCTCTTATGGACACGTTGCAGCTGCTTGGCGTATAGATGTGCATTTATTGTGTCATTGCATTCAAAGAACTCTAAATGAATAATATCTGACCATCCCACTGCACATTACCTTTCTTCCATGGAAATCAGTTTTTTGGAGCTTACGATCACATCACGTTGAAATACTGGTCACCGAAAGTTAAGCAACATTGAGCCTGGTCAGTACCTAGATGGGTGACCGCTTGGGAATACCAGGTGCTGTAAGCTTGGATGTGTAGTGTAATGGATAACGGTTCCGAGTTGTTAATCGTTGGCTTCGTTATATTCACTTACGCGCAAATACCCCAGGGAAAGATGTTAATCTACCACTTCTCCCCCAGCTACGGGTTAATTAGTTAAACGAATCATTAAAACCACTATTATCTAAAAAAAAAAAAAAAAAGAAGTAAAAAATATGTAGAAAATATTTAGATTTCAATTTTAAATAACCCATAGAGGTGTTGATATGTCGCTAAACAAAACAACCAAACCAAACCATTCACCTTTTGGATTTCAGTTGTAGAGACGTATCCGTGTTAATCTATTGCTTTTGGCATTGAATATAATCTTATATAAGCGATAAACTCCTAACTGATTCTTAACTGCTACGTATAATTAGTTGTTAGGCGTATACATTCGTCATCAAAAATACGGAAATTACTTATGACACAACTTAATATTTTTCCTAGTAGTCTGTCCTTGTGCCAGACTAAACGAATCTTATTAATGTAATATGATATCAGAATAGAAATGTCAGACCGTCGAAGAAGCACGAGAGATTTGACCTGGGGTCATTTCCACCGCCGAATGGAGAGGCATGTGACTTCACACTCATCGCTGACAAAATGTAAGGATAACGTTTCGGTTGAATGCGTTACGGGGCTGCATACCACAGACTGGCCGTGAGTAAATGGCGAAGCCAGGAATTGAATAAAATGTAATGTTAAGTAATGACGAATCAAGTTTCGTGTTCTTTTGTCGGGGAACCTACATTATTACAGCAAACATTGCACATATTCTAGGGAAAAACCGTATGATAGGTAGATATATAAACACCCACTGGAGAGGGGAGAAGAGTATCTCTCGTGTCATGGCAAGATATACAGGGTGCCCGGTAAAAAAGCGGTAAATTGAAAAAATCGTGAGACAACAGTTGAAAACTAGTGACGACTGATGTGACTGAAAAATTCAGGAAGAATTTCTGCACATTTCGTCAGTCTCCACATCGGATGTTCTTCTTTGAAAGGTACGATAACTTGACGCTCAAAATAACTGAGTTGTTTAGACATACGAGAAGGGCAGAACGAAAGACGAAAGTCGTCTACAAATAACCTTTAAATGACGAGTCACAAGATCGAGCAGCAATTACTGAATCATAAAAGAACCAATCAGAGTTAAGTAATTACGCGAGAGTTGAATGATTATTCAAGGCCATAAATATTCAAGAAATTTATTCAAGTTTATTCAAGGTCAATTATTCCTGAAAGATAGAACAATGATAGCAAATTTTCCGCATTTTTACTGGACACCCTGTAGAATCCACGTTCGGAGAGAGATACCCACACTCACTGACAGCAATTGACAAAATCTAAAGTTAAATAATGTAATGCTACATATGAGAGATTTGATTTCGTGTTTTTTATTAGTCTGACGACATAACGTTATACAGCATTCCGAAGAGAATTTCCGAAAATGATGTGAATAGACATCGAAATATTAAAATCTTCTTAGTAAATCCAGTTAGGAGCATCGCCTTCCATATTTTCCAAACAATGTTTCCCTGCAACCCCCAGTTCCGTTCAACTTGTTCCGCTATTAACCAACCATTTTGTGCCTCAAAGATGAAACCATCCGCTGAAAGTGGGTAAAAGATGCAATGTATTTTTATCATTAACATCGAATAACTGTTGTTACATTTAACATCGAATTTCTGGTCTATCCCCTCTCCCAATCACTAACAATATCACTGACCTAATCTGACCAAAGTTCCGTGATTGCTTCTTTTCATTGTCTGATGTAAGCATATAAAAAATTTATTTTTATCATTTTAAAAATGTTAAAGTTTTAAATGTATAATCGTCTAGATTATTTCTTTTAATAGACGTTTTTTGAGGGAAGTGTATTTATTATTTGTTGAATTGTCGTGGATTCGTTTTTCGAATTCTTGAAGAAAGATTTTGTATATATTGGCCAATGAAACGATCTCTTGAAGCCCTTGTGAAAACTTGAAATGAGCCGTTATGACGGTCCTTTTTACGATAAAAAGGACTGCTATGAGCGGATAAACAGATCAGAAAGAAGGAACCGTTGAGAAAACAATTAACGGCTGAGGAGGAAGCCATAGCGCCCACACTCAAAAAACGGAAGGGTGATAAATCAACACGAGGAAAGAAAGAGCAAGGCAGATTCTACCCCAGAACAGAATATTCCTTTCCGTACCTCCCCGAGAAGAATTTAAGCCGAAAGAACTTTCAAGTTAACTTTACAGTAAAATACTTCAAAAATCCCTCGAGAAAACAACCTGCAAAAACATGAAACCCCTTCAAGCTGAGACGTCCCGTTTCAGTATTTAGTTGAGACATGAGGTAGGTGCATGCTTGTATTTTCTGTCTTGTGCAATTTGTTTTTTTTTTTATTCCCTTTAATTTTCCCCCCTTTTTTCCTATTTTTTAATTGTTATAATATTTCCCCAGAAAATTGTTATCTTGCCGTAATAGGCGCAAAAAGGAAATTGTTGTACAACCTTGTATCTGTACCTTTTCTTGTAACATTGTAAAATAAATATTTTTCCATTATTTACATTATTCAGACTATTGTCCTCATCTTTGTCGCCATATTTATTACAACGTTTCGGCCGTTGTACGCTCCAGCCTTCTTCAAGTGGTTGGAATGTTGAACTGAACCCTTTATTTCGCTTGCTGGGGTAGACTGTTCTAGTTCCACGTGCCATGTTTAATGGATATCAGTTATCAGTTATCTCCTGTTAATTCCCCTCTGAAAGTTCTCCACTGCCTTAACCGGGTAATGAACTCACACTATCAGTTATCTACTGTTAATTTCCCTGTAAAAGTTCTCCACTGCCTTAACCGGGTATTGAACTCACAGTCTTTGGGTCCTGTCACTGGATCTAACCAACGCCTTTATCCACTGTGCCATGTGTCCTTGACGAATAATGTAAATAATGTACATAATACCTCATCTCAGAAATATAGACAAATATTTTTCCTCTTTAAAATTTGTTGTAATGGAATGTTCCACTCTCCCTATTACCTATTGTGGACTGACTATATCAATAAATATATATAGTGTGCACAGGATACACCTGAGAAGAAGTAACTTGAAACTCGTGGCGAATTCCGCTTTGGCGGATTTCGCCCAGTTTTGACAAATAAGGATCGTTTCTCGGCCTTTGGCTGAGATTCGATCACGGCTACGATTAGTTATGACCGGCTTCGGCCTGGACTAGCTAAGACAAGCCATGACCAGCTTTGACTAAGCTCTGACCAGCTTGGACATGCTATGACCAGTTTTGGACCAGTGGCCCTTGAGTGGAAACGCTCGGGTCTCCCACGTTAAACGACCTTGTGTCACATCCTGACCCCGTGGGAGTCAAGTAAATACCACTTGCTTCGGGAAGTGCTAGCCTGCTGATTCCCTGTTTTTCTGTAGTGTATTCTCTTTTATAATAAACCTCTCTTTCTTTCATCTACGCCTGTGTTGCTGTTCCTTTCACTCGAGTACCACTTTTGTCTGTTGATAACCTCTTTAAAGATAGAACAAAATTTTACGCAGTGGTCGTCTTGTTTTGTAATTTCGCACCTATTAGAGTCACTTGCTGTTTCCACTAGTTTTGTGTGTGGCACAAGAAGTTGGATTTTGTAGAACATAATTTTTTTTAGAAGCATTCTATAAGTGGTAGTGCGGAGTTTTGCATCGTCCATATTCGTCAGAGACGAATATTCAGATCGCCTGCATTAGGCAAATTATTCAGTTATAAGAGAAATCCCAAAACGAATTTGCGAACGAAGCCAACTGGAGTAAGAGTTAACGTGTTTACCATTTCTTAGTTATCCGCATAGCATCGTCCAGCTGTGTTGCTGACCCAGAGGGATATTTTTGTAGAATTTTTCAACAGCGTAACATGTGATTGGACTGCTGTAAATAACATGGACTGTGTTTTTCCATTAACCACGAAGGAAATGGGGCGTTTGCTTTATACAAACAAAAGTTCATAATTGCTAAATTGATATAGTGGTCTAATTTTGTTAATACGGTCCGAGCCTCATATACTCTATCTCTCTCTCTCTCTCTCTCTCTCTCACACACACACACACACATAATCTCTCACTATAATTTCTTTTTCAAAGAACCGAAGACAGCAACAAAGATTTGGGTCATATTGTCAAGAAGGATTTTCACAAAGCGAGTAATTTTCTTATCAAAATACTGACAAAGTCAATGCAATTTTTCATTATTAAACATAGAGTGATACGATTGTGGCTTACAAAGCAACGGACAGTGGAGTTTATATATATATATATATATATATATATATATATATAACGACAAGAGAATAAAAAGACAGGAGGAAAACTATTTTTATCAAGGCAAATGATAAAAATATTTTATGCTATATTGATGTGGTAAAGGGCTCAATATCACGGATTTGCCTTGATAAAATTCCTCAGAGGATGAAACGCGTCGGCTAATGTTTTCACTTGCCATTTTATTCATTCTTTTCCTTTACATGTACAATCTATCTGAAAATAATTTACACACACACACACGTGTGTGTGTATACTTCTTGATTATTATTACTATTATTATTATTATGCTCTGTAGTCTACATTGAGCTCTCACTGGATTAATATCCCTCTTGAAATTATCCCTACCAGTCGCAAATATATATATATATATATATATATATATATATATATACTTCGTCCCTTTGGACAGAAAACCGTCGTTAGATCCTATGTGTCTTAACCCACTCGGTCACGACAGTTTCCCTCTTACATTTGGACAGGAAACTGTGCTGATATGTAAAATTTTGAGCGATCTATGATGAGAGAAGTTTTGCTTAAAGGTACAATTTCGGCCTTGCCTAACTGATTGCTTCTCTGTTAGTCAGAGTGTATCAAATTTAATGGTAGTTCCCTCTGCCTAGAATGACACAAGATTTGGATGCAGCCGGAGTACATAAATTTTCTTTTAGTAAGACTATTC